GTGCATCGCAGCCTCCAGGTCTCCCAAGCCCCAAACCATCCCAGCCGTACTGGCTCAACGATCCTCCATATCCTGAACTTGTTAATGTAAGTTCGCCCAAATTGCCGCAGACCGCAGATGTGGCTATCATTGGTTCCGGAATCGCCGGCGCTGCTGTCGCGCGGTCATTGTTACACGAGCGACGCCGTCGTAACATTTGTACGAATGAAAAGGTGATCGTTTTCGACGCGAGACAGCTATGCAGCGGTGCCACCGCTCGAAATGGCGGCCACATCAAACCTTCGATATATGAGTCCTTTTCTCGATTCAGCAAGCTCTTCCCAAAAGATCGCGCTGCTGCACTGGCGCGTTTTCAATCTCTACATATCAATTGTTTGATCGAATTATGTCAAAGCCAAGGCATCAATGCTGCCGAAGCTCGGAGGGTCGAGACTGTTGACTTTTTCCTGGATGAGCAAAGTTTCTCCAAGGCCGTCGCCGATATTGACGAATTGAAGAGGTGGTTGCCAGAAATTGAGATTGCAGTATGGAATAGCAATCAAGCACATGAGGTTTGAGACATCCCTCAACTAATCGAGACGACCCAGGAACTAATAAAGACAGAGGTTTGGCGTCAATAATAGCGTCGTCGGTGCTTTATCCTACCAAGCAGGGGCTATTTGGGCGTACCGGTTTGTTGCATCTATCTGGCGTGGCATTCTGGACGAATTCTCACATAGTCTCTCTGTTGAGACGAATACCCCTGTAGAGTCGATAAGTGTTCCAAAAGATGCCCCGGAAGGCTTCCCGTACGCTTTGCAGACTACTCGAGGAACTGTATTTGTCCGACACGTAGTTCACGCTACCAACGCCTTCGCTAGTCAGCTCGTCCCAGGACTACGCAGCAAGATCGTGGGTGCACAAGCCCATATGTCTGCTCAAAAACCAGGACAAAATTTCGCATATGCTGATGGCATGCACTCCTGGAGTGTTGTTTACGGTGAGGGGTTTGACTACGTCACACAAAGGCCACCAGCCGCAGGTGATTCCAAAGGAGATCTGATGATCGGAGGCGGTTTCCTGCGATCGCTAAAGCAAGGTATCGATCAAGTCGGTCGATATGACGATGGCTCTCCGCTCGACCCTTTGACCACTACACACATTGCAGGCATTTTTCCAGCGATATTTCATCCAAATTGGGGTGTTGGTGCCGAATTGAAGCAAACCTGGTCAGGTATCATCGGCCTGACAGGAGATTCTCTTCCACTAGTCGGTCGCTTGGATACAAAGTTAACAGGGCGGGATACGAGACAACAAAAGCGGACGTCGAGCGACAAGTACCATTGTGGAGAGTGGATTGCAGCAGGTTTCTCCGGAGAGGGCATGGTGTGGGCCTGGCTTTCAGGAGCAGCTCTTGGTATCATGATTGCCGGAAGTGAAGACGATGAATTACCAAAGGTTCCAGGAAGGCCAGGTGGGAAATTGGCGGAGTGGTTTCCAAAAGAACTAATGGTGTCTCATGAGAGGATACGCAGTGCTGACGTTAGTAATCTGGCTAGTCAATCATGAAGAACAGGGTTTTGTCTAGACGCGTCATTGGCACTGTCAAAAGAAATCATACATTTTAGTCACGGAAGAAACCGAAATTCTTCAACTTTCTCCTTTGCCATCCTGTTGTTTACTCTGTCTGCTATACCGAAGCTCATCGAAAGTCATGTCTTCTTTTTTGAAATGTATCTTAGAAATCTACAAGGCCCTTAATATTTGTGGGCTTCCATATTCTAAGCCAACGTGGACTGTGGGAAAGCGCTTGCAGTGTCCGCATTTGTTCGATCCTCGTCTTGCATAGTATGATGCAGCGTTTGGTGACGCGAACGTCGTCCTGACAACTATAGGGACGAAAGAATTGAACAATCAGTGTCAAGCATGTATTGTGTATTCATGCCATTGGTGACCTCAACAGTGTGGAAGGGCTGAGTCAAACGAGGCTGTTAATATGCTATTCGAACTACTTTCATTTTCTTGCCTTGTTGCATATACATTTCCAACACAAACTAAATGCCCCGATTGGTGTCAATTACCCTGACCCAAATAACGGCAGCCTTCTCAGCGCTCACTTTTCGCATCAATACCTGCTTCCACGTCCTGCGACACCGCTTTCTCTGGATTCGGAGCATCTTTCTTGATGCTTACCCACTTAACCATCAGCGACCCGATCATTACGCAAGCGCTGAGGGCTGCTGATAAGATGAACACTCGTGTCAATGAATAGCTATAAGCTGAAACCACCGTGTCAATCTCATTCGCCGGCACCACTTTGCGAAGCTCTGTGGCGCCAGTGTTGATGATGGCTTTGGTGTCGAGACCGGCAATGCCGGATAACCGCTCCACAAGTTGAGTCGAGAACAGATTCTGCCCAACAGCAAGAAAGATGGCGCCACCCTGTTGATTCATGAAGAACATCTGCAGAGGTGAAGATGCGAAGTCAGTGTATGTTTATATGCATTTCGTATAGGCACCACTTACCATCGCCATGCCAAGAGAGACGTCTGAACGGGGCAACACAGTCTGCGCTACCAGATTTGCCGTTTGTGCTCCAACGCCAAGTCCACACCCGTAGAATACTTGATAGCCGATCCATTTGCTTGCGTGGGAGTGTGGGGTAAGTGTAGAAAGGAGGCCACTAGCGATCGATGCGAGGATGGGCGAAAGGAGCATAGCAGGAACATAATATCCGATCTTTTGGGTAGCCACCGCTGTGATGATACCGAAGAGAACGAGTGACAGGACCATCGGTATCGTACGTACACCAGCCTGCATGGCAGACTGGCCCTGGGCTGCCTGGAACCAGATCGCGAGGTAGTACACAGCGTTCATCATGCCGCCAGCGAGAAGAAAGATGAAAAGCATGGCACCACCCATAGAACGGTTCAAAATGACTCGAGGCGGAGCCATAGCCGTGTCTGGCATTGTAAACTCCACAATTAGGAACGCGACGAACGTGACTACGAAAGTCACGAGCAGGCCAATGATTCTCGGTGCCGACCAGGGATCGGTCGTACCTCCCCACTGCAGAGCCATGATGAGGCATACCATCGAAGGCACGAAAAAAGTGAGGCCTATTGGATCGAGGCGCTTGAGCTGCGCGAAAATGGACAGCTTCTCTTTCGGCGTATAGGGGAGATGTAAGAAGAAGAAGACGGTAGCAAAAGCCAAAGCGCCCACAGGAAGGTTGATGTAGAAACAAAATCTCCATGTCAGGGTCCTAATATATGGTCAGCACTGATTCAAGGAGCAGATCGAATAGCTTACGCGCTGTCCGTGAAGGTGCCTCCAACGAAGGGTCCCAATACAGATGACACTCCGAATGCGAGGCCGAAAAAAGAAGTAAAAACGGGTCGCTTGCGTAGTGGGACGAGGGGAACAATGATCATGACCGCACCGCATTGAATGCCTGCCGCTCCTATGCCAGCGATTGCGCGACCAACGATGACTATGATGAAGGTCAGGATGCTGAAGACCTTATGGCTTTGCGTATTACTTACGAACATCGGAAGTAGGTGCAGCCCCGCACAAAGCACTTCCCACCTCAAAGATGAAAATCGACATTAGGAATGTCCATTTCGTACTGTACAGCTGGTATATCTTTCCAAATAGTGGATTGAAGATTGCGCACGTAAGCATATAGCCGCTGCCGTACCAGCCAATATCTGCAATGGAGCCATATGTGTTCGTGATCGCCGGTATAGCAGTAGCTGAGACTCGTTAGTACTGAATCTAGCATATATGAAATTCGCGTACCAATGATCATGCGATCCAGAGCGACGAGGAAGAAGGCGAGATAGATCGAGATGACGATAAGCCAGAACTTGAGCGACTTAGGATCGTAGTTCTTCTCCGCATCGGCATATTCGTTTGTTTTCGGGGGCGGAGTCAAGTCGTCTTTCTCGGTATCCTGGGTGAAGGTGGACGGTCGTGCCTCCGGAAGAGGGTCAGTCGGAGTTGATGTAGTCATTATGTAAACGTTGGTAGGATCGAGCCAAGAATGGAAGAGAAGCTTGATTTTTGATGTGTTACGAACATGGAAACGAAGCCTTGGCTATTATATGTACATTCGGTATGTGCAAGAATCCGAGAAGTGTGTCTTGCTACACGAATGCATTCGGGGAATAGAAATGTCCGACATGGTGCGCGAGCTGCCTTGGTGAACAAGGGGAGCTTACAGCTTTTGCAGATCCCCGAAACAAGCGAGAGAATTAACATAGCTAGAATATCTTTGGAGTCTATACTGGCGCTATGGTATGTCGTTGTATTCCGTCGTCCTAGGAGTCAGGACTTATGTCGAAGAGCACGTGATGGTGTCGGGTGTTAGATCTGGCCGAGCGGCTTACAGTCAAATCGAGTCTACATCGTAGACACTATCTCATGCCCAACACCTGCCAGGTAATCTGGAGTCAATTATCCATCTTCGCAATATCTTCTCTAGAAGGAGGTCAGGGGTGACATGTGCGCGTAAGCTCAAGCTATACTGTTTCGTGCAGAGAGGGGTTTCTTCTGTAAACAACGAGCGTCGCCATATCTGCGCGTGTAAAGTACGCGTATCCATGTATAGATGAAGTGGACATGCATTAAAACGCTTTTGATGGACTATGCGAGGCCACTACAAGCCAGCCTTAAGCAGAGCGTGAACGGCTGGAGGAACGCGACTGAAACCAACGCGAGCGCGCGTTACGTAAGCCCCATACGTTCTCTAGACACTCGCACCCCGTTGACATCATGACAGAACGCCTTTCACGTCGCCAGGGCCGTATTAGCCGCATCAATCGACAATGCTCCCATTCAATGTGTTCAGCTCGATAATGTGTTGCCCGGAAATAAGCAGGGTCCTGCTTAGCGGCTTGCGCGTGGTTGCCTGATATTTGTCGCCTCCCCACCCACAGCTATTGAGGGTGTCTCTTACATTCTCAGCTGCTATACGTGATCGCCAATTCGGTCTCAGCGGGCAGAGTAACGTCTTGAATATGTCTTCGGACATACCTACGCCTGAGCTCAGTGCTGATGCTCTATCTCCACTAGCTGCTGCAAGCAAGCCGCAGCGCGTACTTTCGTGCGTGCTGTGCGCGCAAAGAAAGGTCAAGTGCGATCGAAAATATCCTTGTTCCAACTGTACCAAGGCTGGTACACAATGTATATCCGCTGCGACAATACCCCGGCAGAGACGCCGTAGATTTCCTGAGCGAGAGTTGCTCGATCGCCTGCGCCACTATGAGGATCTCCTTACGAAAAACGGCATTGCTTTCCAAGCCTTGCATGCGTTTTCGAACCCGCCAACGCGATCCGAAGAAAGAAGCGACAGTCGTGATAAGGAGCACACTAGGACTCAGCCATCCTCCACAGGAGATGCCGAGAATTCCCAAGCCAAGTATGAAGAAGCTGTAGCACTGGGAAGAAACACTTCTAATCGCAATAGGAGTTTTTGGCATGCCATGAACCGAAGAGCATACGATGCTGATGATAACGCCAGCGACGATGGTTCTGACCACAGTTCTTCGTCTCGACACGCACTACGACAAGCACAAATTGTGAAAGCATGGGATTAGTGAGTGTCTCTACACAAATTGCATGTGTAGCATGCACTGACTTTGTACCACCATGTTTAGTCTCTACGCACACGAACTGCACCGCAGCGAGGACCTGCTGTTTTGCTCGCGTAGCGCAGATGTCAGCCTCTCAACCTTACATCCACCACAAGCCCAGATCTTCAAGCTCTGGCAACTGTACCTGGAAAATGTTGATCCATTGCTGAAGCTTACCCATACCCCCACCCTCCAAGCACGCATCATCGATGCCGCTAGCGACATTTCCAACATCGATCCTAATTTGGAGGCTCTCATGTTCTCAATCTACTGCATGGCTATCTTCAGTCTGGATCAAGAGCAGTGCCAAGCGATGTTTGGAAGGCGTAGATCAGAAATTATCAGAGGTTATCAGGTGGGTGCAAGAGAGGCGCTAGTGAACTGTGAATTTTTGAAATCCAGCGATAGAGAATGTTTGACAGCTCTTCATCTCTACTTGATATCACTCAAGCCTGACACAGACCCACGGTCACTGTCGTCTATGCTAGGAGCTGCTGTTCGCATTGCCCAGCGAATGGGTATCGACACAGAATCTACCAACGCCAGGCACTCCGTGCTCGAGGCCGAGCTCCGCAGAAGGCTGTGGTGGTCTCTTACACTTTACGATAACCGTATGGCCGAGATGACTGAGTGCAAGACCACTAGCTTGCTTCCAACTTGGGACTGCAAACCTCCGCTCAATGTCAATGACTTCAGTTTACGGGCCGAGATGAGCACTCAGCCTGCTGAGTTCGGGGTTTTATCCGAAGCACTGTTTGCAGGTGAGTTCTGACTGTTTAAAATACATGTGAGACATCACTGACTTCGGATACTCCCTCTTGCAGTGATACGCAGTCAGATTGGCGAATTCGTGCGTCAAAGCCCCTCTCATCTGGATTTTATCAACCCAGCCCTAAAAACGTTCTCGAAGAAGGCCTCCGTCTCTGCTCATTCAGAATTCGATGAACTTACAGAGTTCGATTCGACGATGGAGCGAAAGTATCTTGCGCATTGCGATGCCCAGAACCCGTTGCACTTCCTGACTATATGGACGACACGCGCATCACTTGCAAAGATCGGATTCGCAAATTACTTATCGACCAATTCGCAGAAGTTTGGACAGGAAAGCGACGAGCAACGCGACCTCGGTCTTGCTTTTGCGCTCCGGCTGCTTGAGTGCGATACAATGCTCATGACATCACCCCTCATCAAGAACTTCCGTTGGATCGTCTACTTGAATTTCCCCTTTCCCGTCTATGTTCATCTTGTTCAAGCGTTGAAAAGGCGGCCACTAGGCGAACATGCAGACCGATCGTGGCAGGCGATGAGCGACAACTGCGCCGCTCGTTTGATGGATATCGAGGTAAAGGACAGTCCAATCGAAACAAAACCGAAAAACCCCTTCTTCACCATATTTGCGGGACTCGTACTTCAAGCTTGGTCCGCGCGCGAGGCAGTATCTGCACAGTCAGAGCCACCAAAGATTGTGACGGACATCAAACGGAAGATGGCACTTGTGGACGAAAAAGCGGCGGAGGTGCAGTTCCAGACACCAGGTTCCGATAGCGCCAACCCACAGACATCCGAGCTCATGGGTTTGGGAAGTCTTGGTTCCCAATTAGGAGTTACCGATGGCATGAACATAGACAGTGGAGTTTTCCCTATGGATCTCACACAGGCTCCGATCAACTTTAACGGTAGTCCATGGACTTGGCAAATTCCTAATTGGAGCGCGATGCCTGGTCAAGGATGGTGAAGCTGTCGTATCAAGGATCAAGATTTGTGTCCTCAAAGACTAAGACGATACCTGACCGTGTCCGATGGAGACCGTGACCATGACAGGATCTCATGGTATCGTTAGACCGACTCAGGTATTAACGTCCAGGATGTTCAGGCTGTCATGACATATTTACCGAACTCCTTTCAGTTCCGAGTCAGCGATCCGGTGTAGCACCCAACGTTCCGGCACCCCCATCCGCATCTACAACGGCGTATCTCAACTATCTCGTGTACCCCAGGTCATGTGCCGACGTCTGTTACTACTTGCTCGTCTAGTGTTGTTATCGCGGTCGCGACCCCATACTATCATGATACGGCGCATTTGCATGAGCCGTTTTAAAGCCGTGCGGGTCTGCGACTGTATTTTCAATAGACTTGTTTCTCGATATCTCATGCGCTGAGAACAGGGGCAGAGTTTTAACGGTGGTTATTCAACTGGAGTTCTTTTTTTGTAGATAACGTCTCCCTGATGGGCGCAGGGGTGGAGTGGAGCGATAGCCTTGGCGTTTCAAGCAGCCTGACAGGGAACCAGCCATCAGCCGGCTGGCTTGTATGAAGCCGTAATACTTCGATCACTTATTCAGGACGTGTACTTCGCCATAGACTATGGCATAGCGACAGCTGAGACAAGATTCATACCTTTTCTGACCTTGTGTCAGTCTCGGGTGTACGCATTTGCGTTCGCTAATAGCTCATTACGGCGTTGCAGCACCCCACATCACGACAAAACAACCGCGATCCTTTCGAGCATCTCCTTGAGGCGCAGTCAACGACATGACTCCAGGAAGGCCGAGCATACCGATAGTGGCATCACCACTAACCTTGCTGGGTGTCTCGGCCCGCTACCGTTGCTATGAACCCCTGGCAGCTCCGGACTTGGAGCCTTTAGCGCTATCGAACATACTAAAATACGATATATAGGTGAACATATACAGGGTAGCTACTCACGAACAGTTCCTATCTCAGTAGTACGCTACCCTATATGATGTTAAGTCTACAATCCTCCCGCTTGTTTCAAAGGTATCCACTTTTGCAAACTCCTATGTGTGGGTCACAAGTACAGGACCATAGCTGGAACGAGTATATAGGAAGTTGACGCCAGAACTGCGATTCTTGCTTCAGGCCAGTTGTCTGAATTCGTATCCAGAATGCAGGTCCGCAATCTCTTCGCCGTGCTTTCGGCAGCCACTCTTTTACATTTTACACACGCCCTTAATGCTTGCCCGGGTACTGACGATGTTTTCACTGGAGCGGAAGGTATCAGATATCGAGTATGTCCTGGTACCGATCTGACTGGACCTTCGACGTCAATAAAGCGAGTTACTTCGGTTACAGCATGCGCGAAACTCTGCGACCAGAGCATGGACTGTTTCAAGGCAGTCTTTGATACCCGGACGAAAGACTGCCACTCCAAAGATCTTACTGGCCTGACTTGGGTTGCCAATGACCGTTTCCAAGTCATCCAAGCAGAGCAGGTCAACATCGCTCGTTGCCCTCACAACGAGTGGACTTATCATAGAAACCGGGTAAGTCTGTTTTCGCTTTCTCGAAAGGAGACACCATATTTTCACAAACTAATACTGTAATACCAGAAACAATACAGCATCTGTCCAGGAACCGATATCCGCGGACCAAGTGAAAAGATATGGCAGGGTATAAGGACTTTCGATGATTGCGCCTACCTGTGTGCCAACTGGGCTACGTGCAACGCAGCCGTTTACGACTCGGCAAAGATGGCTTGCCACATCAAAGCCGACTCACGGAGTAACACTTTGATCTGGTCGACCGACAAACGCTACGATGTGATGCGTCTAAACGTCGCGCCCGCGCCCGCGAAAGACGGTGAATGGTCAGATCTCATTCGCCTGCCTGTCATCCCTGTTGCCGCATATGTCGTTCCTGAGTATCCTGTCTCACAACGTCTTCTCGTCTTCTCTAGTTGGGGAGCTGACGCCTTCGGTGGTGCTGGTGGACGAACCCAGTTTGCGGACTACAACTTCAATACGTAAGCCATACTGACATTAGGTTACCGGCCTATGCTGACAGTCTTCACAGTGGAGCTGTTTCGGCCCGTACAGTCAGCAACACTCACCACGACATGTTCTGTCCTGCAATGAGCAGTCTTCAAGATGGCCAGCTCTTGATTCAAGGAGGGTCAGATGCTTCTGCAGCCAGTCTCTACGATCCAGCTTCGAATGCTTTCACTCGCGCCCCCGACATGTACGTCTCCTCAAATATTGTCATCAGAGAATGGTACTGATATGAATTAGGAAGATGGCCCGTGGCTACCAATCATCCACGACGACATCCGACAATCGCGTGTTCACCATCGGAGGTGCCTACTCTGGTCCCCGCAAGGGAAAAGACGGCGAGGTTTACGATCCCTCCACCAACACCTGGACAGCATTGCCAAACGCAAGGATGAAGGCTATGCTCACGACCGATCATGAAGGAATCTGGCGCGAAGACAACCATGCGTGGTTGTTTGGTTGGAAGAACGCTTCTGTTTTCCAAGCCGGTCCTAGCAAAGCTATGAACTGGTATGGCACAAAGGGAACCGGATCGCAAGTCGCCGCTGGTATACGTGACCCAATTGATGACGCGATGTGCGGTATCTTTGTCATGTACGATGCCGTCGCCGGCAAGATCTTCAGTGCTGGTGGTGCTCCTGACTACACAGACTCAGATGCCAACGCCAGGGCCCACATCACTACCATTGACGAGCCGAACTCTCCTGCAAGGGTTGAGCGTGTCGCGGATATGACCTATCCTCGCGGTTTCTCCAATGCGGTCGTTTTGCCTGACGGAACGGTCCTTGTAAGTGGTGGCCAAAAACGATCGAAGGTGTTCACAGATGACGATGGAGCTCTCTACCCGGAACTTTTCGACCCAGCCACAAAGTCCTGGAAGGTCCTTGCCCCACAGGCCGTACCTCGCAACTATCACTCGGTTAGTATCTTGCTAGCCGACGGACGTGTCTTCAGCGGTGGTGGCGGTCTCTGCTACGTCGCCCAGGGAGTCGGCCGCAGCTCCGCCAATTGCAACAAACTCGTCGACCACGCCGATGGCCAAATCTTCTCGCCGCCGTACCTGTTCAATACTGACGGAACTCCCGCAACACGTCCTGTCATTCGCTCTTTAAGCGCAGAAAGCGTCAAAGTTGGAGGCGAGCTGACTATCCAAGTCGAGACCTCAGAACCAGGTCTCAAGTTCACCCTGGTTCGCATCGGCAGCGTCACACACTCAGTCAACACCGACCAGCGACGAGTGCCACTCTCAAACATCAAGGGCGAGGGATGCACGTACACCGCTACATTGCCCAATGACAGCGGTATTCTTATTCCAGGCTCCTACTACGTCTTTGTCATCTCAAAGGAGGGTGTTCCTAGCATTGCTAGGACCGTGCAGATCGTACTGCCATGAGGCTGCCGTTGTTTTTTTGAGCCCACATACTGGATGTCGCAACGCTCGTTATGCACCATTCGTCTTCGAATCTTTCCTTATGTCGACCTCACCCGCGAGTCTCTCTTTTACTTACGTACTTAGTATATAATGTCTGTTGTAGCATAATGTATATTACGTTTACCGAGAAGGTGGAAATTTATAATTTGCTCGCTTTGCAACAAATCTTGTCGTACTGATGGACAGTCTGACCTGGAGCTCGATATGATCTCGTGAAATTATTGACACTCGCTTTCCCCTGAAAACACGCAAACAATGTCTGGCCTTGTATTGTAATCAAGAAAGATGTGGCTTACAACCTCATCCATGGAAGATGGAACAGTTATCGTTGAACTGGATACATGAGCTGTAGTAAGGTTAGTTCAGAGGTGAGTGCTACCGTGCCGGTTACATGAAGCTAGCAAAGATCTTTTAGCTTTTGACTACTGACACCTCTGTCCTACACACACGGCTGATTTGGGGATGTGATTATCGTCAGGCACTCTAGCTGCATGCGCTGTCATCGTCTTGGGTCTACTAGCGGTATTCCACACTGACTGCTACACACCACATGGTGGAACACGCGCAGCAAAGAAAGATTTCCCAAATGGCGATATTGTACTTGTGATCAGTTTTGCATATAGTATTGATGTCTCGTGTGGAAAAAAGGACTATACGATTACCATGCAAGGTCGTCCTACACGCTGGACACATGAGGAAAAGTCTTTGTTGACCACAATATCATTTCGCACAGATTTGGTCACACTGGTCGCAAACCCACAGGCTATGAAACACATCCAAGAATGATTTGCAGGACGTTCATTGTCTCCGACCACATGTGGAAAGCGCTGTAGTGGAAATATCGCAAGCTTCGTGTATATAACGCGCGACTTCAGCTCTAATCGATGACCGTCATGGGAACAAATTCAACAACTTCCAGCTCAGAGTCTCACCCAGCGACAAAGCGACGATGCACTTCTCCGCCTTCTTTGTCGGCCTCAGCGCTTTGGTGATCACTTCTCTGGCCATACCTGCACCCGAAACAACTGCAGAAGTACTACCAGTGCCAGCGACGATGGCAGTCGCCGCCGAGATACCCTATCAAACCGCCGGCCCATTTGCGGGTGTCTTGCCCCCAAACTTTGCTAAGGTATGGGTCTACACTGGCCTCGAATGCGGGATCAGAGACGGCCCTTCCTACAGCATGAATTTTATCTCTGGTCAAGATCGCTGCATCCCATTTCGGAACGTCGGATCTATAATCGCATGGTACAAATCTTCAATCGGGTAAGTCAACTGTCATGTTCTAAAGGAGATCGACTCACGTATAATCCCACCACTATAGTAAATGCAAGGTCACGACTCATAGTGGAAGTAACTGCAGAGGCATCGAATGGAAGCCCAAGAACAAAGAGTGCGTTCGTGGGTTGTTCGCTTCAGTCAGGGTTTCGTGCCCAAAGTTTCATGGGCGATAGCTTTTGTTTCTACTTCGCTACCAATCTAATCCCTATCCACCTAATCCTTACCAATCTACTCTCTACCACAACCATGGATGTAGAAACACCATTTCAGAGCAATGCCATCGCTACCAAAATTGGTTGCATATGGTTCCCGTGAAGCTTTTTAGGGATCCAATGGACCCTCCCACTTTTCCTTGTCCGACATCGAGTCATCTGTGAAGTCGGAAGTAGAATCGTAGTCGGCTAGTTGTGCGAGCACAAAGTCAGTGTGTCTCATACGCGGTTTGTACAACAATACGTACAAATATGACGGCATCTGTTGCAAATCAAGTCCGTGTCGTGCTTATTTCTTCCAGCCCTGAAGGCGTCTGCGCAGCCAAGGCACACAGTGTTCCTGATCCTATCCATGCAGACGGCGCACTGTGTCCTGTAGAACTCGGTGTTCTTGACAAAGGAAGCCCTGCAAGTGGTGACGCAGCCCCACTGCTCTCTGACTGGGCGTTCGTGCCAAACGATACGGTTGCCATCGTCGCTGGCGATCGTGAACGTGGCTAAGACGGCCACGGCGGTAAAGACGGAGACGATGAAATGCATTTTTCGTCGAGACCTGGATTGATTAGTCGACACGGAGTAAGCTGTAGTAGGGGTGAGTAGTACGCAATGTTTTGGAACTATAGGGTCTTGGTTACTTTGGTGTGAGGATCCCTTCGATCAGATCAGCGGGCACAAGACGGGAGGCAATCTTTGTCTTTCGAGGTAGGAAAAAGACGGTGGGACAATCCAGTGCCTTTTATATGAAGGCGACTCGAGGCGGATTCCTAGATCTTTGGTAAACTAGCAGCAAAGCCCCAGCGCAAGGCGGTCGAGCCAATCTCATACAAGTTCGACCGCTAGCATTGTCATGGTTCATATGATGTAGATGAAGAAAGCAGAAGACGACCTAAGATTGTATGAGTCGCCAACCAATCAAGCGTATGGTGTCGCAGAGATTGGGAAACGACCCAAGGTTCACCACAGAAGGACACCCCAATTGCGCGATTTCCAGTCACGAGTGAACAAAGCCGACATTGGGAGAGCCTGAAAGTTCGCAATATCGCATTCTGATTGGTGCATTTTCGGTATCGTATGGCAGCTTGCATTATACAGCACGTGTAGAGCCCTCGTTCGGAAGAGCTCTGCTTTCAGCTGTACACCAGTCCAGCATCACGTCTACGTTCGCACAGTAGTAGCGACTGAAGGTGTGTGCATCGCTCGCGGATGTATGTACCAAATTGACATGACAGAGATATCGAGCCCTTCTGTCAAAACACGGGCATCGTGGCCAAAGCAGCCACGTCAAAGTGCCTTCGCTCTTGGAACGCCTGACACCGGGTATGAATTAGCAAGACAAAACACAGAGAGTAGAGTGGCGATAGAGAGCGCTCTACGAGAGAGTGATATCGCTACCTGTTCCATCTCCGTTCTGCTCCATCCTGGTGTCTTCCCCATCTCCACCTGCGAGCACCTTGGTCTGAGGTCGGTATCCTTCAGGTGGACCTACACCAGGCGTGCACGCTGCGACGTTTCCGTCCTCGTCGACAAATTCGAAGTTGTACCGCGAGAGCAAATGAGGGATTGCTGAGAGTTGTGGGCCGTATCGTGCGGTATTGTCGTAGAGCTCGAATAGCGGAACGGCGAGGAGCTTCATGTTCTTCGGAACACTCAAGACCTCTGCGAAACATTAGCAATTGGCCAAAACATGGAGGATAGGCAGGTCAACTTACTGCTGCGCGGAAGCTGGATAAAGTACAGCTTCTTGCACTCCTTTGGCCTGGTGACATGCGCAGGGATGAAAGGGTACATGAAGGTCTCGAAGTTGGGTCGCCACCACTGCGCCAATGTGTCGCCAACCACCCACTCGTCATTGACACCTTCGCCAGTGAATTGGGTGCCGACTGGTGCGAGGCGCTCGTTCAGCCTCGCCTTGAAGCCCTCGATCTCGTCGTCCTCAGCACGGAGATAGTCGCCGGGTCTATATGACGTCAGCCAGAACAGCTATAGGCGATAACAATTCGTACAGCTTGAAGAAGGCGTTTGCGATCTGCAACATGAGGATGTGCGGGTGGTTGTGTTCGTGGCAGACCAGGATGCCTTCGCAAGTTCGTCGCATGCCATGCTCCGAGTAGTGCTCTTCTAACCGCTTGAGCCGAGCGAGCACCGAAGGGTCCTCCTCGGGCTGGCCATCTTTGGTCCCGAATGTGTAGTTGCTGAGGGGAAACAAGCGAATCGTCTTTGGCTGGTTGCCGTTGAAGTCCTTGGGGATGACGGGACTGCTTTGGTGAGCGGAAATCACGAACGCAGCTTCCTAAACATACGGGTATGAGCTCTGGGAAGCTTCCTTTACTATGGTCGACATGGTGGCTGTGATTGTTTCGTGTAAGCTCTGGGTTGCTTGTTGCGTCGCGACAATCGACCCGTCGCGGCGAGCTTGCAGGGATTCAGGGTCTCGCTAACACGTGATGATGCGCGCATCCACGCCCTCGATGAAGCTGCCACAGCTCCACCACTCCGTCGTTCCCATCAATTTGCCTCCTCGACCGAGACTTCTGCTCCCTAGCACTGTCGGTCTGCAAAGTAATCGAAATGGTACAGACAGCATTGATCACTGGAGGTAAAGCAGACTTGACCAGTGCTCTACTGCTAGCTGACCCTAGAGTGCAGCTAGTGGTCTGCTTGGCCGTCAAGTGCAACGAGAGTTCTCTCTAGACGGTTGGAAATCAATCGGCACCGGGCTGAGCCGTATTACCTCGCCAGATGTAGTGAAGCTGGATATCTTGAATCAAGACGAGATCTTGAGGGTGCTCAATGAAGTCAGCCCGCAAGTCGTCGTCCACTGCGCTGCCAACCGCTTTCCGGACTCTTGTACCAAAGACCCAGAAGCAGCGAGGAAACTGAACGTAGACGCAAGCAGAATTCTAGCTGAAGCTACTGCCTCTCGAGGAATCTTTCTCATTTATATCTCGACGGACTATGTCTTTGCTGGGAAACCTGGAGAAGCTCCCTACAAGCCAGATTCGGCGCCGAGCCCACCAAATGCGTAAGTCCAGATCTGACACACGAAGTTTATGGTAAATACGAGGACCTTGGACCGTCTACTAATGCCCACTTCATGGCACATGACAAGTCCCGGGTATGGTGGCTGTTGTGCCAACTTAGACTGACAAGATTCGTCAGGTATGGCCAAAGTAAAATGGAGGGCGAACAAGCTGTCCTTGACGTTGCCAGCAGGACTGGTGCAAACAACAAAGTCGTTGTTCTCCGAGTCCCAGTCCTCTACGGATCTTGCGACGAGCCAAAAGACAGTGCAGTCAACGTGCTCATGTCGCAATTGTGGAACGCACAACAGATAGAACAAGGCCAGCCAAAAATCCAAGTCGATGACTATGCGCTTCGATATCCTACGAATACTCAAGATGTTGGTCGAGTGTGTCGTGATATAGCGAAGCTGTATCTCGATCCAGCAACCATGTAAGCTACGCTCAAATTACGGATAGTTGTGCGCGTCTAGTCATCCAGTACTGACGATGAAAACAGGAGCCGTGAACTACCAAGTGTTCTCCAATTCAGCTCCGAAGACCGGATGACCAAATGGCAAATTTGCCAGACATTTGCCGACATCATGGGGTTGCCCCTCGACAATATGGAACCCTTCAAACCTGACGAAGAACCGAAAGATGGTACTGTTAGGCCTTACGATTGTCATTTAGATACTAGCGCACTGCGAGATCTAGGTATCGACATATCAACTGTGGGTTTCCGCACATGGTGGTAAGTTCATATGCGCGTTCGCACCTTCTACTGCTCACATCATGTAGGAGGCGAGAAGTTGGGGCTTTCCGCTGAGTGCCGACATTGGACATTACGCGAACGCTCCCTAATATAGCATCCGAGCCTGCAGACTATGAGAGCCTTCCACTTTTGTTGCATAGTTGTCAGATATCGCAATGCGATGAGCGGCAAAGCCAAGACCGCGACACTAGCAGATCTACAGAATGTGTTGCAAATAAAGCCACCCGTACCTGCATTTCTACTCTTGCAGTAAAGTATGGATCCACTTCCCGCACATCTCGAGCATCGCATTGGAGGCTCGTCGACTACCCGCAGTTGTCCCATTCCGACGTTGTGGTTCTTATCCGAATTGGGATTGCGGTCGCTAAATGATTGGGTGACATCCATCAATGCGGCGCAGTCTCGCGCTGTGAGTTTTGGGGGCGCTTATGCTCCACGATGGTGCCGTTAAGTATCTATCCTTTCGACGTGTAGAATGCCTGAATCTACTCCCGTTGCTTTGTGTTTCTTGTATTGCGGTTCTTGTTTGCTTACTCGTCGCGTATTCTTTTCTTCGTCATGGATGCTACCCTAGCGCCTGTGGCGCGATCAGACTTTCCAGATACTATTGGACCTAAGAAGTCGCATACCATAGTTTCAGTCTTCAAGCGCGGCGAAGAGCATCAAAGTATGTTAGGCTTGAAGTCATGTGAAGAGGAGTCGTGTTGACGAACTGATAGGCCCCAAGCTCTGGAAATCCGCAGCGCTGCGCGCACCAGTTCTCATCTTCACGATCTTAATCTGCTGGACCATCATCGCCGTTCTTCAATATTTACTCGTACGAAGTCAGCGAGATAACGGAATAATCTTTGCTCCTAAAATTAACGACCTTCCTTTGAGCCGAACCTTTCTTTATCTTTACTTTCCGACGATCGTTGCAGTAATTTTTAGCATTTACTGGGCATGGATCGATTTGGAGACAAAACGATTGGAGCCATATTATCAACTAAGCAAGAAGGATGGTGCTCTGGGAAAAGATTCCCTGCTTCTGCATTACCCTTTCGACTTCGTACCTCTGGTACCGTTCAAGGCTGCCAAGGACCGGTAAGTAACACGTCTCTATTCAATATTTACTCATAATGATTATGGGCGCATCTAACCCCGTATCATTACTATTGAAGATAGCCCACACTCATTGGACAATTCTTCCAGTGCTAATCGACAGCAGACATTGGCCAGTCTTCTGGGCTTCACTCGCTGTTGTTCTTGTAACATGGGGTGTAGTCCCAGTACAAGCTGGTATATTCTCAGTGCGAACAGTTACGTGGACTACGAAGACGACTTTCGCAGTATCAACATCCTCAATTCCGATTGAGCAGCAAGCGACAACACTGAACCTTGGCTACATGCAATCAACCTACGGTATTGTCTCTTTGAATGAGACGCTTCCGCAGTACATGGATCGCAACTACACATTGGCACCATTCCGACCATCTACTAACTTACACACTATTGGTGAAGCGAGTGGTATATGGACCGCTCCGACGACCAAATACTCTCTCGACCTTTATTGTGAGGATGTGTCACACAAGGCCGATAACAGCACGACGATCTCTTACGCCAGTAATAGCGGCTGTAATTTCACTATTGGTTTGACTGGTAACGTGACGAAGGGCAACGTCCCTGGTTACGAAGGGGAAGCTTATGCCAACAAAGATTACGTAGGCATGTTTGTTGGGTAAGTCAGATTCGCAGTTGCAAAGTGGATTGTGGCTGACACTGCATCTTCATAAAGCTATCACAATGGTGGATTTGCCGATTTTTCGCTGGACTCCGTTTGCGATAAGTCCTCTAATACTACATTTTATGCTGCGTTCGCAAAGAACAAGGTATGTACCATACATGGATCGACACAGATCGAAACCGATCTATACAATACGCCCTACGATCCTTGTACCAACCACACTAACTTTTTTCACAGGCCCGTCCAGAAGATTCTCCAGAAGACGTCACTGCAGTATTCTGTAAACCTCTCTATTACCAACAAACAGTTATGGCGACAGTGGACATGACTACAAAAATGCCACTGAATGTGGAACCTTTGGCTGATAAAGAACCATTGCCATGGCACGTTTTCAACACTACAATGTTCGAGACTCTGTTGAACGCTGCCTCGTTGGGTCAGGAAGTCCGTGGTGACATACTCCCCGCAAAGTCACTGCCCAGGTATATAGAAACCATTGCTCGGGCTAGGCACGGACAGTTGAGTCTCAGCAGCGGCAGCCCTGGAAGCGTTGTTCAACCTATGGTTGGTCTAGCTATAGGTGCTGGTACTGATACGCTGGAGAGTTACCTAGAATGGAAGGGTCTTAGCAAAGCTTACGCGGAAGCTTATCGGGTATTGTTTGCCCGCGCAATGGTCGATGTTCTTGGAGACAACTTCTCAACCTACGATTCAACTCCCGGTCAGCAACGAGTCACCAGTGAGGCAGTCGTACTGGAACCGGTCTTCGTATACATCGTGGAGGGCCTACTAGGACTGATTTCGATTGCCACGATTGCTCTGCTTGTACTGTCTTTCATGCGAAAGAGATCGCTTCGGACGAACATGGGCACTATCGCCAGTGTCATGTCTATTGTCGCAGATAACGAGCCGCTACTCTCGGATTTTGCCGACTTAGACTGCTGCCCCGTTGAAGACATGGAACAGATCATCGGAGAGAAAAGATACAAGTTAATCAACGAGGATTCACAGATTTCGTAAGTCATCTTTATCTCGTTATTGGAAGGTCTGCACATGCTGACCAGAGTAATAGAATTATAGAGATCGACGATCGCATCGACTTTGGTGCTGGACCCCAGCTACTGGCTTCTAGGCAACGCCGCGACACACCAACAAACATCGCAAAGCCAGTCCGACCGAAGGAGTTCAGTCTATGGGTCGCGATTCCCTTCATAAATCTCTTCATCATCCTCGCAGTAGTACTTGGTGTAATCTTTGCGAAGGCGCGAGCTAACGGTATGTACGCGAAACCTGAGCTGACAAGTTACTGTGTGCTGACACATCAAAGGTCTTCCGTTGCCTTCCTCTAACACAATAGTCCAAAACATACTTGAAAACTACATACCGACAGCTTTTGCCACTCTTATTGAACCAATGTGGGTTTTGATCAATAGACTTCTTTGCATGTTGAAACCTCTAGAAGAGCTTCAGGGTTGCAAGGCCAAAGCAAAGAAGTCTATTGATCTAGACTACAGTTCTCTACCTCCACAACTCGTCATATTCAAGGCTATCAAGTCCAAGCATTTTATTCTCGCTGCTGTCTGTGGCATGGCGCTACTGTCCAACGTGCTCGCGGTCGCTTTTTCCGGTATCTTCAATCAAAGCTCAACTGAAGTACGACAGCCCCAGGCTATGACCTCGAAGTTGGATCTCAAGTTCGTAAACATCAATGGAAGTGTGGGTCCTGAAAGCTACCTGCAATTTGGTTCCCATGAATCATCTGGTGCATACGAAGGAGGGGACGGAGAAGACCAGTTTCTGATCGCGGAGTCGAACTACACGAGAGGCACACCATTACCAGCATGGACAGACGATCGGCTTTTCTATCAACCTTTCTCTTGGACCAACGAAAGTGGGAAAAGCGTCAACAACTCAGATATTCCCCACGTGGAAGCAACAACTAAAGCTTTTGGCGCCAAACTCGACTGTGAACAGCTAGAGCTTGGCAAAGATTCTCACGCAAGAATTGAAGTCGGTAGTTCTATACGTGCGTCCGTCAACGTTACAGTACCCACTAAAGACGGCGATGTTCGGTGTAGCAGCCAAAGCCTCGAGCTGAGGCCAGGACCTATAAGTGCGATACCCACGTGTCTTACAGGCCCCAGTGCTGCAGAGCTTGTTTCGATTCTCGAGCCCCGTATCAATGCAACACAACGTGAGAAAGATGCTTGTATGGGCACCGTTGTCATGGGCTGGTTGCGCGAACCGCAGGGTTTATGCCCTCTTGGTAGAAATCTGACTATTACCAAGAGCAACTCGATGTTCGTTCGATGCCGTCCAAGACTGCAAATGGGTACTGCAACGATTCGAGTTGATGGAGCTGGTCGCTTGGTACGAACAGTGCAGAACGTCACCGTGACAGGTGAGTAAATGGCAAATTTTGTTGCTAAGCTCGTCACACTAATTCATGGCAGAGGTCGGCACATCGAATGATACACTTCAGGAGATTTTTACCAACGAGCCCATCAACCTGATAGGTCAATCGAACAAATACCTGTTCAAATACAACGCGAACGGTTGGCACAATGACAGCTTCGCCGACGACTTCATGAATTATTTCGTCAAGAGAGGCAGCAATAGCAGTCGCCTGGTAGACCCATCTCTACCTCCGCCGACCTTCAAAGATATCTCGAAGCCGCTGGGCGATGCTTATTCAAGGCTTTTCGCCATCTGGCTTGGTACAAACAAGGACCTGCTGCTTGTAAAACCCGATACGCCAGCACCCATCCTACAAGCATGGAAGATCGAACAGAAACAGCACATTTTTGTATCGATGCCTATGTTCATAATTGCAGAGGCTATCCTCTGCATTTACGCTGTGGCTGCCCTATCTGTCTATCTGCACCGGCCGGGCCAGTATCTTGCGCGATTGCCCATCTCGATAGCTTCTATGATTGCCCTGTTTGCTGCTAGCTCTGCTGTACAGGACTTGCAAGGCACATCACATCTCGACAAGAAGGGCCGTGCCCAACATCTCGAGGCTATCGACTCGAGGTACGGATATGGAAGCTTCGTTGGTGCGGGCGATGGCCGTGTCCACATCGGCATTGAGAAGACTCCATTTGTGCGAGTGAGGTCTAAGACGACCTGGTTAAAGAAAAAGGTGGGATATTGGCGAAAGGGATCGACTAGTTGAAGTGGATGAAAGAGAGCGCTAAGGACTGCTTTGTGATGAGGCTCCGCGGCTGTAATTTGATCGCGAGCGAATGAGCGACCACATCACGTTCCTTCGCGACGAGCTTGTTTTGTTGGCCTTGCGAGGTCATGAAGCTCCTCTGAGGTGGTCCAGTGAGATGGCCAAAGCCAAATAAACTGGCTAGTGGAAAGTGGAGCCGGCGGCCATGTAACATCTAACACTCGCCAATTTCCAACACTGCTTTCGCCATGATGATGGAGATCGTCAACAACACCAGAGCGCAATTGGAAACCGGACCTGTTCACATGTCGGAACTACCACAAACTTCTGCGTGTGCCGCAGTAGGTTACGGACGCCGCCCGTAAAAAAGTAACGTCAGTTCCGAGAAACGTCGAAGCAAGAAGACCCGTTCAATTTCCGACGAACTGCAGCCTTATCTTACTACCCAATAGAAGGAGAACTCAACCCCTGTACATGTTGAGATTACACTACCAATGAGATTTTTGTCATGTGAAGATGAGCGTGCTGGACTTCTTTGTAGTTTCACTTTTGGCGGATGAATAGCACGCTTCTGGAAACGCTCATATCGAAGCGATTTCAGGAGTACTGCAGAAGACACCTGAAAGGAGTAAGACAATGCGGTGCTGGTTGTGCATCGGGCTCGAAGCAGGCATAAGTTGGGGTTTGTCACGTGAGCGGGGGTCACCAAAAGCAAACCCCTAATGAAAGCGTAGTTCGTACTCTACTTTGGGGTAGAGTGTCTGGCAACGGGACGGAAAGTCCGGATCCTTTGTGCCAGTGACAGTAGAGACCGACCGTGCCGTTCTGTTAGTTTATGGGTCTTCGCTATGCGCCTCTCTGTTTGGCGATCAGGCGTTGTGATCCTGTACGCTCAAGTTTCGGGGTGCCAAGGATAGCGTTGTTTGTAGCGGACCAAGTTGTGCTCAACATTGGAAGCTCAGTGTCTCAATTGGATGAGACGGATGAAAGTTACAGCTATCAATTTCCTTTCTGCATACCTAGGTAGAAAAGAGATTGTATCAGGGTATGTCGAAGAGTTGAGGTTCACACGGGATAGAGGCTGGAAGAGGTTTACTGCCCAAGGAAATGTCGGTAACAAGAGAGTGCAACGACGGGATCGGATCATACATAACAATTAATCTTGGACGGGTTGGTGAGTCTATTCAGTGGTCGAAAGTTCAACGACCAGGGTGACTAAGTCGACGTCCTGCGAGAGTACCATTTCGCCCTTACGTGAGTGGTTGTGTCGGAAATGACGACCGCCTTTCGACTTGGCATGTGCAAAGTTTGGAAGCCTCGAGGCTCGCGACTTTGTCGTTAGCCTGATCTTGCAGTTCATGGACGACCGAGCTGTGAGACGGAGATTTGAGATCGACTAGTTGTGGAGAACGGTGACGCGTAGTAACGCTCGTGCGGTCGGGGAAGACTACTGGAACTGCCGAAAATACATCTCTATGGAATATGGAAGAATAATTTAGTTTCTGGGAAAAGGCAGCTATGAAAAGAAATGTGGTTTGAGTCGTGTTTCGTGGAAAGTATACGTTACGTGAAGTCAGAGGGCTTTTGCATAAACCCTTCCTCGATCACCACATCGTATGTACTATACAAATAGGAGAGGAACGGCTGTTATTGCCCGTTTCTGCATGTCTTGTTAATATCTGTTAGATTCGCCTGACAGGTTTTGATAACCTCCAAATGCTGGCATCAAGCCCGCTAGTTTGTGCCCTTTGAGCAACAGGAATAACATGACCAGTAACGCGTGATGGCGAGAGGGGTTTGTCGTTTTGTTTCGCGCCGTTGGCGTTTTTAACTCATAGCTGGTGTTGAGTGGCCCAATACCCGTATTTCACGGGATATCCGAAACGAAGCCTTTTAAGCCTTTTTGATCCCCACTGGTCAGCTTTTCAGAGGAAAGGAGTGCCTGGCAATGTTGGCTCCCCACCAGTCCATCATCTATGAATTGTTTGCGCGTGAGCAATTTGGTGAAACCAGCTACAGTCGTTATATGACCAATCAGTCGTTGAAGCGATGAGGGCCTGGAGGCGACGGCGCCTTTCCATCACGAGCTGATGGCGACGGCGGGTCGGTAGCGAGACCCGCGGGTCGCCGCCGCCGGGTCGCGATTGCACGCACGCAACCCAACGCCACAGCCACACTCTCCTTGTTTTGGTGTCCGCCAGATTTACATCCTACGTCTTCACCGACGCCTACTCCGAGGACATGTCGCTCACGATGTGGCGCAGCCAGACAGACACGAGGCCACGACGATTGCATTGTGTCGATCTCCCAGATTAGCAGCGTTCACGACTATGAACCATGCATAGACCCAAGACTGTCAATAGTCAGGGTCTAATATTGTCGAGAGTAACAGAAGTGACGGCTAAAAGGTGGAGGCCCAGAAGAAGACCTTGCGCATGAGGGATACCCAGGTTGCGACGCATGAAGTTCGATGACATCGACGCGGCCTGTCGCTCGTAAGGCCTGCAATTAAAGACGTCTTTGTCACAATGAACGGCCCGCGACACTTCAGTCTCCAGCATACAATCTGGCGCCCGTGTCGCAAACACGGCGGTAAGTAACCTCTGCGTAGCCTTCGAGGAGTCATCATTGTGCGAACTGGTTTGTTGTCGGTCAAGCCATCGGCGTACGCCTGGTGTGCCTGTAGGCGAGCTCGCCTGCCAATGGGAGGCTCCGCAGCAACTTTCGCGAAGGATGCTGATCGTTTCAGCTTTAGCAGACGATCGCCACTCCACACCATGGCTAGCTCTTCCAGCTATCGAGTTATCGATAGGCCAGGATTCGGCATTCCCCTGCATAACACACAGACCACCGGCACAAGCTTCAAACCTGACGTCGGGCCCCTGGCCATAGCCTCGCACCAATGCTTTCCTATCTGAGTCGCTCTCCGCTTTTTTGTTTCATGGACAATGCTCTTGTCATGACCACATGGCCAATGGCATCGGTATCGTGCCTGCCGAGAGCTCAGGACTTTGACGTTACACCACTTATCCTGTGCTCGTCCCCTGCCGCTAGACTCGAAGGGGGATGCCAGCCGAAAGAAGCCCGTCAACCGTTGCAAGAGAAGCCTTGCTTCGTCGAATAGCCTATGCGTCTTCACGATGATCCGCCGGGCATAGGCTCCTGAGTCCTTGCAATGCTGTGCGAGTCCCTCCCGACCGCCACAGGCTAGCCATGTAGTTAGAAACGACCATCCTTATATAACCTAACACGGTTCCGTCTGCTTTTCCTTCTCATCACAGGCTATTCACAGCAGTACCAAACTTCTTCTCTGTTTCTTTTGCTTTTGCACGTCTTGCCAGTGGCAGATCACATTCTTTACATCCGCCGTGCGTTACCGAAGAGCTAGACTCAACACTCTTCCCGCCTATATCAAGTGCCACTTGATCCGCAAACTCAAGACAACCACAGCCATCACATTCCTTCCATCGCTCAGCAGGTCTAGCGATATCCAAACGAGAACACCTTCTTCTCACGTCACTCTTTCAACATCAACATGTTTTCCTCAACCACCATCCTGATGGCACTTGTTGCCAGTGCCACCGCACACATGACCATCGTGAACCCGGTCCCTTTCGGCAAAGATACACTCACCAGCTCTCCATTGGCTCCTGGGGACTTCCCTTGCAAGCAACGCTCCGGCGTGTACGACATCACTGAGATGAACCAGTGGAATGCTGGCGAAACCCAAACTATCAGCTTCCAGGGTTCTGCAGTGCACGGTGGTGGTTCATGCCAATTCTCTCTTACCACTGACCCTGAGCCCACCGAGCAGTCTCAGTGGAAGGTCATCCACAGTGTTATTGGTGGATGCCCATCAAACGTATCGGGCAACTTGCCTGAGGCTCCCGAGGGCCATGGAGCGGCTACGTTCCCGGTCACGATGCCAGACAACATCCCAGATGGTCGCTACACTTTTGCATGGACTTGGCTCAACAAGGTCGGTAACCGCGAATTCTACATGAATTGTGCTCCGGTACAAGTAGGTGATGGATCGAGCAAGGCCTCTACCGCCAGCGTCTCTGCAGCCTTCTCCAGCCTCCCGGACATGTTCGTCGCCAACCTACCTGATACTTCCTGCAGCACTGCCGAGAATGAGGACTTCAACTACCCTAACCCTGGCCAAAGCGTTGTTGAGGGTAACGGTGCCTCGCTCGGAGACACGCTCACTGGTTCCGGATGCGACCAGATGACCAAGATGGGCGCTGGTAACGGACAAATGGGATCCCCCACTCAACCTGAAGCTTCGCAACCCGCTGCCAGCCAGGCCCCTGCCGCCACCTCTGGATACGCTGCACCACCTGCATCCAGCGAGGCTCCTGCTGCTACTTCAGGATACGCTGCTCTGCCCTCCAACGGCGGTGGTGTCTTCGCTCCTGGTGCTTCCTCTGCCCCTGCTGCTGAGCCCACTGCCCCTGCTGCTGCACCTACTCCTACCTACGGCGCCGAGCAGCCAAGCAGCGTTCCCGAGCAGCCAGCCTACAGCGCAGCGCCTCAGGTCCCGGACAACAGCACTCCCAGCGCCCCCGCCAGCGGCAGTGACTGCACTCCTTGTGACAACGATGGCGCTGTTGTCTGCATGGGCGAGAACCAATTCGGTCTTTGCAACCGCGGATGTGCTGTGCCTCAAGCTCTTGCCAACGGCATGTCTTGCTCTGCCGGAGCTGTCGTTGCTACCGCTTCCCTTAAGCGATCACCTAAGTTCCCTCGTGCCCACCTCCACCGCCGCCACGGCTCGTCTCTCTTCGTCTAAGGGTCATGCTTTGCACGGTCATTGGAATGTCTTGGACAGTCTCACATACCCTCAGCCGCGGGCTACGAAATGCAATACTTGGGAGTTTGGGATACGGATTGGGACACCTTCGGATCGGGTTGTCACATGGGTTGGGATAGGTTTGGGTCTTTTGTTGATATACCTTCTCACGTTGCGCAGATACACTTTTGGTCTCGCTCGTGAATTTCTTCTTTGCTTTACTGCTGTTACATCCATTCTTTCATGACCGGCTCTAGATCGAGTCGGCATGCCCTGTTGTCTTGTTTAGAGAGAAGCGCTGTGATCGGCCTCGTGTCTACGAGTGCAACATACCCTGTACTTACTGTACAAAACAGAATATATCGCTCATTCATTCTATAAAACTGTTCTCATGCTTGATCTTTGTGACTCGCTTGGTTCCCTGAGTATGTCCTCATTGTTACGAATCTCCAACAGTCTTTGGTGAAGATGCGCATGACAACCGAACAAGGGCTCACCATTAACATGACCTCGAGTCTCAACTGTCTCATCTCAAGTTCGGTGAGCCACATCAATTGTGGCTACGAGCGTGTGTAGCCAAGGTCGACCACGAGGCTATTCACCGGTTTATGACGTCCTTGGATGGCGGGCTTGTGATTGGGTGGCAGGCACACAGGGAACAGCCAAGGGGACCGGCGGCGACTTCCCCTCTGATTCCCACTTTCAGCCCTAAGCTCCTGTCGCCAGCGCACACCCGAGCACGCGACGAGCCAGACGACAATTCTCACTCCGGCCATTTGACTACTGCCATCTCGTGCTGTCAGGCCCCAGAAATTAGAACGCGCCGAGGCCTTCGTTTCGCACGCCGCCGCCACTCAAGCTTAAGCGGTCATTGCGCTCGCCCCACTACTTCGCTGCCTTCACCTCCACCGTCTTCTTGTGCTCACACCCTACGGCTTGCTGCATAGACTGCATAGATTGCCCAACATGGACAACCAACAAAAGGACGTCGACCAGTCCCAGTACATTGACAATGCTATTCGCGCCGTGCGTGAGAAGAAGCCGCTCCCTGAGATCGACTTCACCCTGCATACTATGGAAGATGGAAACCAAGTGAGCACACAGGAGCGTGTATGCAAAGGTATGCTCAATCTGTGCCTCCCGCCATACTCTCTAGCCATGACCTGCGCTTTTGCGACGTTCCAGAGGAATGCAGCCAGCTAACCGTGCCGTGTTCCCCAGACGTACAAGCACCCGCCTTCCACCCACCCACCGACGAGCAATTCTTCTCGCCCCAAGATCGCACAAAGCCCAACATCCAATTCCTGAAGCAGCACTTCTACCGTGAAGGTCGCTTGACCGAGCAACAGGCGCTATGGATCATAAAGAAGGGTACCGAGATTCTCAAGTCGGAGCCCAACATGCTTGAGATGGATGCACCCATTACTGTGTGCGGTGACGTTCACGGACAATACTACGATCTCATGAAGCTGTTCGAAGTCGGTGGCGACCCAGCGGAGACGCGCTACCTCTTCTTGGGCGACTACGTCGATCGCGGCTACTTCAGTATAGAGGTAGGATAACGAAGGGACGGCTGATATGCATTGGCTGACACTCGCAGTGCGTTCTGTACCTCTGGTCTCTCAAGATCTGGTACCCCAACACGCTCTGGCTACTTCGAGGAAACCACGAGTGCCGCCATTTGACCGACTACTTCACCTTCAAGCTCGAGTGCAAGCACAAGTACTCCGAGGCCGTGTACGAAGCATGCATGGATTCCTTCTGCGCATTACCGCTAGCCGCTGTCATGAACAAGCAGTTCTTGTGCATACACGGTGGACTGAGCCCTGAGCTACACACTCTGGATGACTTGAAGAGCGTACGCAAAACAGCTCCACGTACAGCGCCATTGCTAACATTGTCAGATTGACCGCTTCCGCGAGCCACCTACCCACGGCCTCATGTGCGACATTCTCTGGGCTGATCCTCTCGAGGAGTTTGGTCAGGAAAAGACCAACGATTTCTTCGTCCACAACCACGTTCGTGGATGCTCATACTTCTTCTCATACCCGGCTGCCTGCGCTTTCCTCGAGAAGAACAATCTCTTGTCAATCATTCGCGCGCACGAGGCTCAAGATGCTGGATACCGAATGTACAGGAAAACACGGACAACTGGTTTCCCTAGTGTCATGACAATCTTCAGTGCGCCGAACTACCTCGACGTGTACAACAACAAGGCTGCGGTTCTCAAGTACGAGAACAACGTCATGAACATCCGACAGTTCAACTGCACACCTCACCCTTACTGGCTGCCTAACTTTATGGACGTCTTCACATGGTCATTGCCCTTCGTTGGTGAGAAGAGTAAGCAAAATCACTTGTCCATATGCAGGACTTGGACTAACAAGCTCTAGTTACCGACATGCTCATCGCCATTTTGAACACCTGCTCCAAGGAGGAACTCGAGGAAGAGACACCCAGCTCTCTGGCGTCGGGACCATCATCGCCTCCTCTTTCCAGCCTCGATCCCGAATCCACCGAATTCAAGCGACGTGCGATCAAAAACAAGATTCTGGCCATTGGTCGACTTTCCCGCGTGTTCCAAGTGCTGCGTGAGGAGTCTGAGCGCGTTACTGAGCTGAAGACAGCATCAGGTGGTCGACTCCCCGCGGGTACTCTCATGCTTGGTGCGGAAGGTATCAAGCAGGCCATTCACAGCTTCGAGGACGCTCGCAAGGTTGATCTACAGAACGAGAGGCTCCCGCCAAGCCACGAAGAGGTACGAAAGTCTCAGGAGGTTAGCCGAGAGCAGGCTCTCGAGAAGGCCACCAAGGAGGCCGATAACGACCAAGGGCTCGCCACCGTCGCAAGGCGTATTAGCATGTAAGTGTTCTTTTAATTCGACATGTTGTATGCCTGCTAACTGATGTAGGTCATCTGGATCGGGACGCAACCGGAGAAGCTAGGCGCGATTCAAGCGCTCGCGATCCGAGAGTGAGGCTGATAGACGAGCTATGACACAGCAGGATGTTTAGGTTCTTGATTTCTGTATTGGCGGGCCACCAAATGTCATCAGTATACCACGTAGGCGTATGTGGACCAGCGTAACCTAGAGGTATCACCTTACGAAGTACGGTAGTAATTTGTCGGTCGACTGCTCAACCTCAAAGGGGTCGACTTCTCATTGAATCAAATAAAATCACATCCCTATCAAAACAAAGCGCATCGACTTCGTTGTGCAAGCGTGATGTGAGCAGACTGCGCACGGGCCCGGGCCGAAGCTAGCTTTGCCGACATACGTCAACATGGACATTTCAACAGCAATGCTCAACTTCAAGCCCGATGCCTCCATGGGTGGCCTCAGTGCCGCGACTGACGATCTTTCGCAAGGCAGGGACGATTGATCGGCTCCCGCTTGCGCGTCGCTGTCGCAATGTCCTCACCTCACGCTCGACGATCCTCCGCGTGCGCTCCGCATCGACACATGTCTCGCCGACCGCGATAAATCTGCGCCCGCACATCCCACCCCGGAACAAGGAGCTGTATGATGCGCTGTCCGCGCTCAGTGGAGCCGCCGAAACATATGTCAATATCAGCAGGCTGCAATTGGCACTGCGGGGTCTCGCCGCGCAGGATGCCGTCACAAGAGTTGCTGGTACGGTATACGCGCAGTACAACTCGAGGAGCTAGCAACTGACGAGATACAGTTCTCGGTCTGAACAGTCAGTTAAGTGCACAGCAGCTTGCACGGCTACTGCTCGCAGATCCGCTGAGTGCTGAAGAGCAGTGGGAGAAGGAGCTCGTGAAGACGAGCGATGGCAACGAGAGGGCGGTACTACTAAAGTATGTGCACTCCTACTGTCGCAGCAGATACCACAGTCTCTAACATGCTTGTTGTACAGATATGGCGATGACCCCGATGCACACACGCCTTCACCCCTCTACAAAGTCCTCTCAATACCCTCACGAACACTCCAGTCGCACAACCTAGAGGTCCTCGTGTCTACCATTAACGTTAATGTCGCCAGATCCGTACCTCATATGACAACGGAGAGCTCTACTGAATCGTTGTTGGTTCCCAAACTCCAGGCCACTTCTGCACGAGGACTACCGGTCCCATACCCAGTACATAAGACATTGGTACTGGGAGAAGGATTAGACAGTGCGATTGCGTTTGGAAGATTCTCGGCGGATGGATTGGAAGAGGCGCAGGAGGTCGTGAAGATGGCTGTTGACCTTCCCGCGCCATCGGAAGAGGCGAAACAAGACACTCATACCGCAAGCGCCCCTATCAATATTCAGGTCGGCACAAAGGCACTCGACAGCTTCCGTGAATCGATTCAGAACTCCATCATATACGAGCGGGGGTGGTTCAAAAGCGGCTTGCCCACGCTGTCGGAGTGGCTGATTCAAGATCTCCAGGCTACAGGCACCTTGAAACCACCAATGAAGACACTTATCAGTTCTATAGCGGATGATGTGGAAGCGAGCATCACGAAACAAGACGCTACAAGATTACAGCAAATCGCTTCCGTTCCAACAGAACAAGATGTAACAAGGTCTATCGTCGGCCATCTTGAAACCTGGGCCGAAAAGTCTCATGCAGAGCTCCGCGATCAGCTCGATGAAGCCTTCACAGCGAAGAACTGGCACAAGCTGGCTTGGTGGAAGCTACTCTGGCGTGTCGACGATGTCACAATGATCAGCTCTGAGATCCTCGAACGGCGATGGCTCATCTCGGCGGAGAAGAACAGCATCTACCTCGCCGGTCGCATGAACCAAGCCGGATTCCCAGATGACGTCCAACACCTCGCTGTCGCTAACATCCCTGAGGTGACAACGCAGGAAACAGCACCGACAGCAGAGAATCCACGAACGGACCTTTCCACCAATGTCCGGAAGCCGATGCCATGGTCTGATCACATTCCTGCTGCTCGCACAGAGCTCATCAATGACACTGTCCCGCCTCTCCAGGCCCTCGCTCAACGACTCATCTTACAGACCTTCAGCACGACGTCCCTCTCTTCTGCTGCATCAGCACTCCTCTACGCCTCAGTATCTTCCTTCTCCGTTTTCGAGGCTTCAGCTGTCGCAGCACTTGGTCTCACATTCTCTCTTCGCCGTATGCAGAAGCTATGGGAAGGTGCTAGAGAATCGTGGGAGGATACCCTGAGAGAAGAGGGGAGACGTACGTTGAAAGGTACAGAGGAAAGGGTCAGATTCATCATCAGGAATGGAGGAAAGGAGTATGTTGAGGATGAAAGCGTTGCTGAGAGGAGGGCAGCGAGGGAAGCTGTAACAAAGGTTAGAGAGGCACTTGAGCGGATGAATGGTGGTGCTGGAAAGTGAAGTGTATGATAGATGTATATGAAGCCGATCCAATATTGCATGGCATGATCTTTCCGTTGTAATGATTGAAACGAGTAAATGTCTTGAGCGATCATCTTCACTCAACCTTCTCGTGGCATAATGGCTGTCAACATCGCTGATTGAAGATACCGCGCAGGCACCCTGACTTGGTGCAATTTACCATACCTTGTTCAATCACACAACCCTATCATGCCCATTCGCCGTGATGCGTGGCTACTCGCAGTGTCAGACTCTGCAGCTTGTCATGCAGTTGCGGAAACACATTCCCATGTTCTGCTGCATAGCATCGTCACCCGGTATCTAGCCTGATCCACTGTGGTTATCTGTCGTTTTCGTTTGTAAAGATTACGAGTGAGCCTGCTATACTGTTACCTACAACATTGCTAACCGTTTTTGACAGTGATGTCACACAGCAAGGAACGAAAGACAGTCTCTGTTAAGACACCGTAGCTAAGGCCTGTTTGTGAGTAACATCGTTACTATATAAAGAGAGAAGAATATGCATCTATATCTTAAACAAGCTAGAGAAGTCACGTTACAGAGGGAGCAAAGGTAAAGGTACTTTTAGTTTGTCATGTACAGAAGAAGACTAGCTAGTTATAAGAGATGTTCTGCAAAGCGTAGATAATAGATTCCGTGCTTAGTTCGGTTGTACCTTTCTTGCTGGGCAAGACGCAGCTAACAAGAAAAACCTGAGATGGAGTGAGATGGAGTTTCCAAACAGAAAGCCGTGCCGCCGCACTATCAAATCGCTGGTTATAAAATGAATGATAACAAATTAAGCATGTCTGTGTTGTGTGGTTAGCGATGTTAAAGAGGGAAAGTTAGAGGAACAAGTTCATGTGGCCTTACCAAAATCAAGGTGAGGAGGACATCACGCTGTCTTTCTTCTTGAAGTAAACCTAGGAATTGAGGCGTGAAGATAGTTCCTGAATAAGTTGCTGTGCTGTGCTCTCTCTTTCTTAGTCAAGTTGTTCTATTTGACGTAGAGCAGTTGGTCTTTAGGGACCTTTTCCTTAGCTATAAAGATCTTCTCCGGCTTTGACTTAGCTGATTCGCAGTAAATAAACCATCATTCGCTTGTGCCTTTAGCACTAGTACTGCTATAAAGTTCAAAGTCATAGCCATAGTTAATCTGTTGTTGGTTAGAAAGATGATCTGTGAGTAGACAAGAGATGCGCACCTCGAGCTCAGACTTCTCTTTCTTTGCGTTTGCAACATTAACATCGCTCTTTGCCTTGGCCTCGTACTTCTTTCTGACCTTCCGGTCTTCTTCTTGTTCTTTGGCATGGAGGGTTTCCTTCACTTCTTTCACGCTCGAACTTCTAAGCAGGTCGTGATTACCCTTTAAGTCGCCCTAGTTATACACAGTTAGTACTGATATGAAGCGAAAGATACTTTGTCACGTACCCGTCTTCCACGGACAGACACGCTTGGTGTTATTGTCTTTCTACGCTTTCGAGATCGAACTGGCAAAATCGGCTCGTTGTCTTCGCCGTCTGATGGAACATAATCATAATCGTCGTTGTCGAGATCGAACGGTATATCTTTCATGTCGGACAATGCTCTCGCAGGGCGTTTTGCACGCGAAGATGACATATCGACGATAACAAATAATAGTAGATACGCAAGAAGTAGAGATAGTATGATTGTTCGAGTAAGGAGGTTGTAGATAGGTAGACTGGAGTGTAAGAATCTAAACCTTCAACCCACGGAAGACAAACTTATATAGTACATGCTACTACTCCTACAGGCGGTCAAATAGTCGGGGATCTGTCTCTCACCCCTAATGCAATAGGTTACTTACCTACCCCGCCTTTACAACGAGATGATGATAAAGTATAGGTAAAGGCAAATGGCGGTATGTTGAGAGCGATAAGAGTCAGGCAGCGGTGTCTAGAGGACAGACAGCGAGTGGCTGGCACCATACTTCTCCCGCGTTTGCAACGAGTGGTGATGAAAATGAAACAAACAAGCACAAGTGCTAGGGCTGCAGCGGGTGGGGACAGCAGGGCAAATGCTGCGCAGAAGTGGACAACGTAAGGTTCAGGAATTACCTGGATGTCTTTTTTTCAGTGGAGAAGAACAAGCGCTTAAGGTTGTAAGTATTGTGAAGTTGCGAGATGAAATATGTAGTTTGAAAGCGAAGTTTAATTAGGAACTTGACCAAACATCCTACCAAACGCTGGCTAGACATTGTAGTGACTGTGTCGCAACGCGAGACAAAAGACGCAACAAATACAATCGCAAAAGCTAGAAATATCCTGCTACCCGACAATAGAAATCTGTTGCAGGCCCGCCTAGAAGATCTCACCAAGACGAGGCTTTCCACCCTTCCAATCGTCACGCTCGTAGTAACGGAAGACCAAGTCGTAGCCATCTAGGTCGTGCACGATGCGGTCAACGCGACGGTATCCTGCGATTGACTCCATCCTCTTGGCCTTCTCAACATTCTTGCCAGGCATCTCATCAGCAGTAGGCTTGGCCTCAAATAGAGTGACACTGAACCTGCCAGGCTTGAAGATACCGACTACATGCTCGACCACATCAGCGGTCTCTCGGCCGGTCTGGCGGGCAGGCACGTTGGTCTCGAAGGAGGCGTAGGAACACTGAGGCTCGGGCGTAACGTGCACAGTGAAGTAATGCGTGGCATCAGAACCCTTCTTAGAGCCGTTGGGAGCACCGCCCGGAGCGGGAATAACACCGTTAGCAGAGAAGCCGCATGGTGTGAAAAGATAAGCGTCGATGCGAGCGTCAGGGTACTTGGAGGTAGGGTAGACATCAGCCAATCCACAGTGCTCAGAGACGACAGTGCCAAGCGTGTGGCCCTCGGTGGTCAGCTCTTCAGGGAACGTGAGCTCCTCGTCAGAGTTGAAACCGGAATGGTCAGAAGACGTCTGCTCGAACACGTCGAAGCTGTCATCAGAGGTGTGCGTGTTGGCAGTGGAGTTGAGAATAGTAGAGCCACCGAGACTCTCGCTCTGACCATTCTCTTCCGCAATAGTGCCGAGAGATTGGATGGCATTCTTGCGAGCTTCACGAGCCCTCTGAATGTAGCGACCTTCCGCAACCGCACTTGCGTCCTCTAGATAGAACTGACGAGCGTTCTTCTCGTCGAGGTCGGTCATCAGGATTTCCAGAGTCTCGTCCTCTTCTTCGTCGGTGGCCTGTTCGCGCAACAAGCGCTGGGGATGGCTCACAAACTTGGTTTCGGTGTCAGGCACAAGCTTCTCCTCACCAGGACTGGGAGGAGGAGTGAGGCTGGTGTCTGGACCGGTAATGTAGAGGTACCAATGTTCGCCGTTCATCTTGCCAATCATGTAGGCACTGCCACCCTGGAAACGGTCGTCAAGGTAACGAACCTCATCGCGCCAGCTGCGGTGGGGTCCACGCTGCTGGTCAGGGTAGAGGTAGTTCTTCCTGCTGTAAAACACGCGGTATGGTGTGGCGGCTGGCGCAATACCGGATGCCTTGGGGGCAACGTAAGGGAAGCCAGCGTCTGCAGCAATCTCCAGCATGCGAGTAAGGCCCCAAAGCAGAGTAGTAGTTCCGCAGGTCTTGAGCACCACCTTGTGGGGGAACACAAACATGCTCGACTCGGACAAGAGGTATGCATCGACATGCTCAGACTCGATGACGGAGAGAACCTTGCAGTTGACCAGATCGAGCATGTCCTTCCAGGTATCCGCCGACACCTTCTTCAGTCCAGCTGGACCGGCCTGTCCAGGCAGTTCAGTAGCGGAAGCGCTGAACCATACTTCCAGGAGCTTCTCGGGACCCTCGAAAGAGTTGGTAGAGTCGAGATCGATAGTAGCCTCCTTGTTGATGGTCAAGTGAGGGGTGCCAATATGCGACGAGGGCGAGGCAGTGTAGTGCTGAGGAATCTCAGTAGCGACCATCTCTCGATTGTGTGGCTGTCGCGCGCACAGAACGGATAGGATAGGTGTGTTTGTTGGCCGAGTTTGTACAGAGGCTGTGAGAGGTGGCTAGCTATGAAGCTATGTGCAGCTCAACCTCGCTCAGACAAGCAATGCGGTGCTCGCCTGAGAAGAAGTGGCCCACGGGTCGCAAAGAGTAGGCGAGGCTGGCGTGTGCCAGCAGCAGTTTATGGAGAATAGGGTAACCGACCGTAGTCGATGTTAGGGAGGTCGGGCGTTGAGGGGAATAAACGAGGCCTTGCGCCGGGAAATGGTGGCAGTCGTGGGGGTCCTCGCGATACCAGATTCCGATACCCTGGGCAAGTATCGGGTCCAGCAGACGAGGAGATCTGCTTAAGAGGATATGGTAATTGGTGGTGGGTTGGAGGGCGTGGTGGGTGTTATCGAGGCCTGTGGAGGTCAGCGCTGGCCGTTTGGATGTCTTGCACACTGCTTCACGCGGAGACAACGACTCACTTCGCAGGCTTGGACAGAAATCGTACCAGGTCCTCTCGACGCATAGAAGAGCCGAAGTGGGCGGCAACAGGTGGTCTGCGGGCTACCGTAGCCTAGGCAGTGGTGTAGAGGGAGAAGAGTAGGTCTGCCAGCGTGACGACGGAAGTCTGGTGGGGAGCGTAGAGCAGAAAAGTCAATGCAATGGCGTTGGGCGCTGATAGAATCTGCCTATGGATGAGCCGGCCAACTTCTCAAAGATAGTCGCAAGCTGTAGGTGGACAGATGTGGGCGTGTTGAGGATGTCAGAAGAGCGACGTACTGTGCGCAGTGGAAGCAAACTTGACTAGGGCAATTTAACGTGCGTGCAGCTGGGGCGACGTCGTGGGAGCTTCGGGCCTTCACGCGACACGATTTTTAACGAGTGCGGTGTTTTCGCATCAGGACGTCACCGCCTGTCCCAAGTGGCTGGAGCGCCCCGCCGCCTGCCACTGCACCCGACTCAGCCAAGTCGTTTGCGGGTATTGCGTCCGCCACCGTGTGCCTGACACACGACCTGAGAAGGTCCGACTTGTGTTGCTGCCATGATCGGCTGCCGTTATATGCATC